CTCCTTCTATTCTTTCGGGGCTTCCTAGGAGCTCCATACATTCTTCTATCCTTTCGGGTCTCCTAGGGCCTCCGCACATTGCGCGGCCTTCCTAGGCCGTTCCACTGGTCACGTGCCGGGCACCCGAGGAGCCTCCCTCTCTCTCATTGGACCATCCCTTGTGTTGCTGATGGATTACTCAGCTACTATATAGTCGCCTGTCGCACCAGGGAGCAACTCAGACTTGTTCTCTCAGTTGCTTCCCTGCCTTGTGCGACAGGTATGTGTATTCATCTCGTATCTCTGTATATATTCTCAGTTGCTTCCCTGCCTTGTGCGACAGCGTCTCCACCGCCGTCCCGGGGGATCCGCGCCGCTCCTAGGAGCTCCAGCGCATACTCTGACAGCAGCAGCCCTCGTGATTGCGGGCACAATGTCTATTCCAATCGATGAAGCTGTCAAACAACTTGAGTTTGGATACGACCACGGGAAGATTGCGTTCCCAATCTACGGGTATGAATCGGTTGTAGATTCGATGGAGCCAATGTGCACAATACCCCGATCGTGGACAAGGGTAAGTTGTCCTGATCTAACATACCATTCTCGCTACTTCTATCCTTCCAGGACAGGGTATTACATGCGGAAGTAGCTACACCGGAAGTACGTTTCATCCACCACGTCCTGTTATTTCATATTACACCGGGTGATGACCAGCTCTAGTCGAAGTTACCAGTGAAACTGGTCCGCAAGCCTTCGTCAAAGCCGCCTCCCAAGGCTGCGAAGCACACCAAGACAATGAAGACAATCACGCTCGATGATTACGACAAGGTGAGCATCGTGGATACGTCAAGCATGAACTTACTCAGCGTGTACAACCGGCCCCGGGCTCTCGGAGATCGGAGAAGGGCAAGGCTATCGCGGGTTCCAAGGCGGCGCCCGTTGCGTCCTCGAGTGCTGAGTCTGCTCTGCCAAAGGTACGTCACAAACATGTTCCGCTTGGTCTCACAATCATTCGTTCTTGATGATCTTCCTCCAGGCTAACAAGGTCAGGGTTGCAAATATGAGCGATGAGAGCTTGCTCACCTACGAGCCCTCGTCGAAGCCGCCTTCCATGGTTACAAAGCGCATCAAGACGACGAAGACGATCACACTCGATGATTACGACAAGGTGAGCATCGTGGATACGTCAAGCATGAACTTACTCGGCGTGTACAGCCGGCCCCAGGCTCTCGGATATCAGAGAAGGGCAAGGCTATCGCAGGTTCCAAGACGGCGCCCGCTGCGCCCTCGAGTGCTGTGTCTGCTCCGCCCAAGGTACATCACGAACATGCTCGCATTGCTTCCGCAGTCATTCGTTGTTGACGATCTTGTCTTCCAGGCTGACAAGGTCAGGATTACGAACATGAGCAACGAGAACTTGCTCACCTACGAGGCCTCATCGAAGCCGCCTCCCAAGCCTACGAAGTGCGCCAAGACGACCAAAACGATCACACTCGATGACTACGACGAGGTGAGCATCGTGGATACTTCGAGCACGAACTCATTCAACAAATCCAGCCGATGCTGGGCCCCCAAAAACCGTATCAGAGACTGTGCAGCGGCAGCCCATAATCCCATACCGGCAACCGCCGGGCTCTGTCATAGCCCGAGCGGTTGACATCTACAACCTCTACCTTTGTCCACACCGGACTCGCGGTAGAGGTAAGAACAACCCGACCTATCATTGTTGTATACAGCTCATGTAGTACCGTACAGGAGCTACGCTAACCGCGTACCTGTTAGGTACATAATACTATTAACCTTTGTCCACACCGGACTTGCGGTAGAGGAGCTACGCTAACCGCGTACCTGTTAGGTTTCTTGAAAGGTTATGAGCCCTGGGCTCTAGTGTTCCGAGCCCGCCAATCTCGAATCCTTCTCTCGAACACGAGCACGTTCTCGTCTCCTCGTTTCGAACTCGGCGGTTGCGAAACCCGCCGACAAATCGACATCTGTGGGCGTGAAACCCACATACCGCACGCTGCCCCTGGTTCCTCGAACCACCGCTGCTAATATGGTCATAACGCGCACGAGCGGCGCTAAACAAGCGATGCCGGGTCCCAACCCGGCGCATACACTACCGCGAACATCAAGGTCGCCAACTCCCCAGCCGTCCGCACCTCCGTCTTCGCGAATCTCACGCTGTCGACAACGACGGTCCAGCTCGCTTCCACAGCTCACTCCCTCGGTCACGCACCGCTCGTCTTCGAACTCTACGCAACGTCGTCGCTCTCCGTCCAGATCATCTCACGGATCATCCACTCCTTCCGAACCATCGGGTGCATATAGGCCGTCTCGCTCGCGAACCCCGAGGACCATACCTCTCCACGCGAGCCGCCCTATCCCCCTGATTGAACGAGTCAAAAATACCAACTCGTTCACGACGTTCAAAGGTGGCTGGACCGACAAATCGTACATCTTGTCGGTCAGCGTGCGTAACTACCACGATTGGGCCGAACGTGTCATTCAGGCGTTGGCGCAATGCCAGCAGCTACACGCATACCTTGACTGCACGGACCAATGCCCAGACATGCCGTACTTGCATCGTCCTGCGTTGGGCGATCATCCCGATCGAGACGACTGGAACTCCCTTGACAACTGGGACTACAATAACCGATCTGTCCTCGCACTACTCCGCATGACCATCGATGGAGAAGAAGCTCGGGAGATCAAGATGTGCGTTACCGGTCGCGATGCGTGGGCTATCTTGAAGGCTCGCCATATCAAGTCGACACCAGTGACGCTGTTCCGTCTCGTGGAAGAATCCTTCAACACGAAGATAGAACGTTCGTCTGACGTCGAATTACTCCGCGCTGTCGAACGCATCTGCGACTTGGCCAACCGAATTTACGCCATGGGACTCCCGTCACGCAATTCCTGGTGCACTATGGTTATCCTCCATGGTCTCGGCCCTGAGCTCTCCCACGTCCGCGACTCCATGATCAATCATGGATCACGTCTCGACCTCGCTTCCATCAAAGAGCGGCTTCGCGACGAAGCCGATCTTATCCGCTCTGAACTCGACAAGTCTGCCACCGCTGCTGTCGCTACGGCCGCAGCTGGGAAGGGCAAGTGGGCCGGAAAGGGGAACAAGGGAGCGAAAGATGGCAAGGAGAGAAAGGATGGCAAAGATGGCTACAAGCGGAAGCGCGACAACGACAGTTCGTCGAGCTCACACAACCCATCCTCTCACTGGGTGAAGGCTGCGACTACGCAAAAGAAGAAGCTCGTCCGTTTGCCGAATGGGAAGGCCTACATCGGTGAAGAAGTCGTTCAGTCTAGCACCATGACGACAAAAGTTGCTAACGCCGCCCGTGTTGATGACATCACCGATGATGAGTGGGGGTTCCACGCTCAGTGCGACATCGATGACGACGACGAAAACTTTCTCGCCATCGTCAATACCATCCCCATCGCGCGTCTCCCTCTCGACTCCTCTTCCGCAGACTGGCGCAAGGACTGGCCGCTCACTGTGAACAACGCTATCGTCGAACACCACGTCGGAAACTCAAAGTGGTGGCTCGATACCGGTGCTTCAATTCACTGCACGCCGTTCATATCTGACCTCACCGATGTTCGTGATATCGCTCCAATTCGCATAAAGGGCATTCAAGGAGCGGCGATCGTCGCAAACAAGATGGGCACCGTAATCCTCCCGGTACCATCATCCAAGCCGTTAACCATTGCCAACGTCGTGTGGTTGCCCGACGCGAAAATCCGCCTGCTCTCTGTCGGCTGTCTTGCGGATGCCGGGCTCTACGCTTGTTTTTCCAAGACATGGGCTTCCATTCACCGCGCTTCCAATGATACCCTGGCCGCCTGCGCATCCCGGATGGGTCGTGGACTCTACTCCCTCGACATCGCCCATGACGAACTCGCAAACGTTGCCGTCCCTATCAACGTATGGCATGGTCGCCTCGGACATCCCGCGAAGCACACCATCACGACAATGGCCCAGTCCCACGCAGTCACAGGTATGCACATCGACCTCTCGTTCAACCCCCCGCTTTGCCAACCTTGTATTATCGGGAAACAGAAAGTCAATCCTGTACCGAAATCGAGGAAGGGCATAAGGGCGACGAGATGGTTTGATATTGTGTACTGTGATCTGTCTGGCGGCCCCGACCGCACCGCGACACCCTCGGGAGAACATTACACTTGTACCTTAGTCGACGATTTCTCTTCTCGGAATTGGACTTTTCTTCTCAAGTCTAAATCTGATGCGCGTCGTGTTGTCGAAGGATGGCATGCTCAGACTGCACGCCAAGTAGGGTACTCTCTCGGGACTCTGCGCGTCGGCAACGGGGAACTCAAGTCATGCGGGTTTGAGTCCTTCTGCGCCGCTGCGGGCATAACTCTGGAGTACACAGCGCCGTACACATCCGCGGAGAATGGTAAAGTCGAACGGATGCATGGGACGCTTATGGGTCGCGCCCGTGCAATGCGCGAAGCAGCCGGTTTACCACCGACTCTATGGGGCGAATTCGCCGTGACAGCTGGCTTTCTCGCTAACTATACGCCTTCCGCCTCACTTCCGCGAGGCGTCACCCCATTCGAACGCTGGCATAACCGGAAACCAGACGTGTCATTCCTCCGGGAGATTGGGTGTACGGCGTATGCCCTCATACAGAACGTGCATAATCCAAAGATCTTCGGCCGCTCCGTGCGTTGCAAGCTGGTCGGGTACGAGCCGCGCTCTAAAGCGTATCGCCTTTGGCACCTGGAGACGCGTCGTATCATCTCTACTCGCAATGTTCGCTTTGTGGAGTCGCACGAACTCGTAGCTCGCCCATTCCGCCCCGGTCAGTCGGTCGAAATCCCTCCCTCTGCCGATGACGAACAACACCCGGACCATGGCTGGCCGGTCCCATCGCTTGTCCCCGTGCCAGAGGCGCTGCCGTTACCTGCGCCAGCTCCGCCCGGGCCTCCCTCGCCTTCGGTTCGCCCAAAGCGAGACACCCGACCCCCGGCACGTCCTGACGAGGCAGATCGTCGTCTTGAGGCCATTCGTGCTGAAATGCGACAAACAGCACCTCCGACCGGCAAAGCTGCTCGCGCTGCGCGACGTGCGGCCCGCGTTGATTCCGCCGTTGCCGATAATGATGCTTTCGCTGCATACGCAGCCGATCCTGACATACCTGTCGACACTCTGCTCGGGTGCTTTGCCAACAGCGATGAAACCGTGGCCGTCGACGACCTCTTCGACGAGTTGCTTGATGACATGGTCATCCTCGCCGCATGCGATGAGGCCGAACCGACGTCCATCAAAGACGCTCTTTCAGGCGAAGAAGCAGAACTGTGGAGAACTGCGCTCAAGGAGGAGTTTGACGCGATCAAAGGCATGCAAGTGTATAAACTCATTCCACATGCTGTTGTTCCCGCAGGACGCCGGATACTCAAAGGCAAAGCGGTATTCAAACGGAAGCGAGACGAAAATGGTGCGATCTCCCGTTACAAAGCTCGTTGGGTTGCGAAAGGTTTTTTGCAAGTCTTCGGAATTGACTTCGACAAGACTACTTCGCCTACTGCCCGCCTTGAAACTGTCCGCATTCTTCTTCACATCTGTGCCGTTCTAAACCTAGATCTCCGCCAATTCGACGTCAAGTCAGCCTTTCTCCACGGGGTTTTGGACGACCCGCTCTATATGGAACAGCCGAGCGGATTCGAGGAGGAGGGTAAACCAGGCAAGGACTGGGTTTGGATGCTCTTGAAGGGCCTGTATGGGATCAAACAGGGCGGACGCGTATGGAACGAGGAGATGAATGGGGCTATGACCGGCTGGAATTTCCACCGAGTCAACGTCGAGTATTGCCTCTACTACCGCAAGACTGACGCCGGCTTTGTCCTAGTCGCCGTCCACGTCGACGATTTCCTCTCCGTCGCATCCTCAACAACCATGAACGACGAGTTCGAGGCCGAGCTCCGATCTCGCTGGGAAATCACGAAGGCTGATGGTTCCTATATCCTGGGGATACACGTCGTCCGCGACATCCCTCGCCGTCAGATTTACATGTCACAGACTGCTGCCATTGACAAGGTCGTTAAGGAATTCGGACAGCAAAATGCTCGCCCGGTGTCGACGCCGATGGACAGCAGCGTCAAGCTTTCCCGTGCCCAGGAGCCCCAGACCGAACATGGGAAACGTGAAATGGCCAAGATGCGCTATCGCGAGCTGGTCGGATCGCTTGTTTACATCGCATGCGCGACCCGACCTGACATCTCGTACGCCGTCACTAAAGTCTCCGCATTTGTCAACAACCCAGGACCCGCGCACTACGACGCCGCAATCCGCATTTTACGGTACCTTCATCATACCCGCCTCTTCGTTCTCACCCTAGGTCGCGGAACGGATCACAATGGCAAAATCACTCCGGAGTCAGGTGTTCGCCTCGTAGGGATGACGGATTCAGACTACGCCAACTGCGTCGACACCCGCCGGTCTGTCTCCGGTTACTGTTTCTCGCTTGGATCCGGCGCCGTTTCATGGAGCTCTCGCAAACAAGACATCGTTACGACATCTTCCTGCGAGGCGGAGTACGTCGCCGCGTGCAATGCGACGAAGGAAGCTCTTTGGCTTAGGCAGGTCTTATGTGAGATTGGTTTCGATCAGGATAAGGCTACGTGCATAGGCGCCGACAACCAGGGAGCTATCGTCCTCGCTGAACAGCAATCACATCATCAACGTACTAAACACATCGACGTGCGATACCACTTCACCCGAGAACGCATTGCTGCCGGCGACGTCTATCTCACCTACGTTCGCTCTGCCGACAACATCGCCGACATATTCACTAAAGCCCTACCCGCGCCGACCTTCCTCCGGTTACGAAAACGCCTCGGTGTGTCTCTGCCTGGATCGGAAACGACGGATTAGGATCAAGGAGGAGTTACGGATATTACGGTCTGCGTTGAGGAGGAGTATCAGAGACTGTGCAGCGGCAGCCCATAATCCCATACTGGCAACCGCCGGGCTCTGTCATAGCCCGAGCGGTTGACATCTACAACCTCTACCTTTGTCCACACCGGACTCGCGGTAGAGGTAAGAACAACCCGACCTATCATTGTTGTATACAGCTCATGTAGTACCGTACAGGAGCTACGCTAACCGCGTACCTGTTAGGTACATAATACTATTAACCTTTGTCCACACCGGACTCGCGGTAGAGGAGCTACGCTAACCGCGTACCTGTTAGGTTTCTTGAAAAACCGGAGAAGAGCAAGCACTGCGGCTAGCGCGGTCGTTCTTTCCGAGGGAGTAAATACCTGCGACAGAGCGAGGAACTCCGTCAACATGACGGAGCAAGTCATTCATCGTCCACTCAATCGGAGTGCCCCGCCAGTTCAATTTCCGCGCCGAACTCGTGAGTATCAAGCGGATTTGTCACTCATTCAGAGCGAGAGGTGCCGTCTATGTGAGCGAAGAATAACATATCTAGTCCATCAAAGGCGGACATCATTAGCGAATCCGCGGCAGATTTAGAATGCATCGGTCGGTTCATATGAATGCGTGAGTCCATTGGAAGGAGCAGGTCAGACATTGAGATAGAGGCTCTTATTCCATCGGGAATCATCGTGTTCATGCACGTACATACAATCATCATTAATGACTATATCAGTACATTACAGGTAGTGATACAATGGAAGAGTCCGAGAGCAGCAGCAACAGATATGGATTGATGGCAAGTGTTCGTGTTGAGTTAGGATACGGTCCAGGAAGGGGGATAACGGGAACGACGACCCAGATTGCAACGAGAACGGAGACCGATGAGAATCATGGTCCGGGAAAGACGAGACTGAGGAAAGGCGTAAGCTAGGACACGAGCACAAGAAGCGACCGAAATATTGAAGCAGGTCAACGAGCGTCATATGGGTAATAGATTGGTGCGGACCTTTCGAAAGACACGGCTGCGGCACCGAGGGAGAGCGACGAAATTGATATTGAGGAATGATAAGCACCACGAACGAGACTGAGGGGCAACGAGGACTGGAAGCAGCAAGATGGGGATCGACGAGAACTGGGAGCGATGAGACGGAGGAGCGGCAAGAAACTCGTAGCGGAATGCCGAAGGCGAGCTGAGGGCATATTTGTCGGAGACTAGAGTCTGAGTGCGATGTGAACACGGAGTCCTTCAAGAACGAACTCACAAGCTGAGCGCCGAGCTCTGATGAGAGCTCATCACTGATTGCCACGTCAAGGGGTGTTGCATGGGCTATAGATGGGAATGTACCTCACGAACGTGACGGCCGCTGCGCCGAGGCGGATGCTGATCAGGTTCCGATTAGTGTCGGATGTGCCGATAAACCTTGAGACGTACCGCTGGCGGCGTCTGTGAATCATGCAGCAGGTTAGTTTCGTTGTCCGTAAGCTTATGACCGTCGCCTACCGGTTCAGTCTTCTTAGCTTTGAAGGTGCGCGTAGTGGCCTTCAACCGTTCAGCAGTCTTTGTAGAGAGCTCGCTGCTGGTCTCGCCCTTGGTGTCCCGTTTGGTTGGTTGCGCGCTTGAGTTTGACGCTGCGGACGGCGGCGCAACTGGCTTCGCCTGGACAGCCAGTAGCTCCTATCATATGTACATGGAGCAGATATGTGAGGCGCACCTTCTGGGAGGCGGCTGAAGTCTTGAGGGAGATGGTGGACTTCGCTTTTGCAACCTTTCGCTTTTTATGCGGCGGGGGAGTCTCCGAAGCTGGCTGCTCGACGTTGTCAGCCCCAGCACGACTCAATAGTAGCAAGAATCATACCATTTCGTAGTCATCTAAGGTGATATTGATCTTCTCACGCTTGACTCTGACCTTCGCCGGAATCTAGAGTAGAATTGATCAGTATAGTGCGACGGCAAAGAAAAACGTATACCACGATAGGTTCGTGGCGTCGAGCAGATGGCTACATCAACGCGAACATGAGACTTTATACGTAACTCTTGACAGCTTTTCCGCACCTTTTCGGTCCAAGACGGCGGCAGCGGGCATGGAGGTGCAATAGTGTCGATGTCCTGCACGTACCCCCACAGCGGGAATGCGACTTTTCCGTAATCAACACTGCTTTCGAGCCAGTCGACAGCGTCCGTGATTGCGATCGAGTGGTTCTTTGCGATGAGAAGAGTAGCTGCGTGAGGTACGAGTATGCGGCGAAGGAATAGGTCAAATGTGGGGAACGGCGTGAGAGTGGAGTGGTCGAAGTCTTCGTCGTGGAGCATCGAGATGAGTGTCTGCCTGATGAGACGCTCACCCTGGGGACCGTAGCTAACAGTACATGAGCATCGCTAGCGCCAGCGTCACGGGTCCTTTTTACTCACTAGCCTGCCGAAACCGACCTCGGGATGCGAGGATCCTTTAGCGTTCCAGGAACGGCACATGCGTCGATGCCGTACTTCTCATCCAGAGAGCTCCATGTAGCGCATAATGTTGGATCTTGAATCACCTCCACGAGCTCTTGTTTGAGGTCAAGGATCTCGAGGCGCAGCTTTTGAAGATCCAGGATACGAGGCCAGTCAGTGTCGCCGTATTTACTCGGGTCAAGCTCCAGAGAAATGCGGTCACAAATCCTCTCCTCCCATATCGACACGTTGTCCCGCCCCTAAAGTGAATAGGTGCGGAACTGCTCGAAAACCTCCATTTTTTATTCATTCTGCAGCCTCTCTGTTATGTAGTAGTATAGAATCTAAGTAGAATAGACCAAGCATGTACCTTAAACTGGCCCAGGAAAGTTTGACCATATTAGGAAAAGGGATTACCAAGCAGTGCCCAAGCTTAGTCAGCACATGACAAATCATGACTCGGCTGAGTCAGAAGCTGACTCAGCACTGCTAGGATTACTAATATGACTCAGAAAGCTGGCCTAGCTAAGGAGTATAAAATGTAGCCGAATCGGCATGAATGAGAAATCAATCAGTTCCACCCTAAACGCGCCCAGCAGTCGTCTGCTGAACCCCTCTCTGTCAGGACTCGAGTGCCTGGACAGCTTCCCTATCGACTCTATAGTCGACTCTATCG